CGTCCCCCACCCCCCCGCCACGAGAGCCTGGGACCTGGAGCTCAGGAAGGGGCCCTACCCAGCCGGCCCAGGCCTTCCCCCGTGCAAACCCAGCCAGCTCGGCCGCAGTGGTCTCGGGGCTTCAAGCCGGGACCCCTGAGCCTCGTGCGGATCCCTCCCCGGAGGTCAGCGCAGGCCCAGCCTCTGCCTCATCCGGCCCTGGGCTAGTGCAGGTGTGAACAGGTGTGGCCTCTGCAGGCAGCCCTTTGCTCAGAGACTAACTTGGGAGGGGTGGTGCTGAAAGTGTGGGAAGCCTCTGAGAAATTCCGGAGTGCAGGGGTGCTGGGCCTGTCCGCTCTCACCTCCCTCCTCTGACCCCTGCTTCAGGGTCAAGGTCAGAGTGCTCAGATGCCCTTCCCCTCCTCACCCCAGCTGGATTAGGACAATGGGGAGGGATGCGAAAGGTGAGGTCGCTCAGGTCAGGGGAATGGAGACGCTCACTTGGAGCGAGGGCTCTGGTCACGCAGACCCACAGCTTCGGGCTGAGTAGGGGCTCATGCCCCAAAGACGCTTCCCACCTCCCTTCCTGGACGGAGCTTAGAGCCAGGCCCAAACCGCGTCCCCAGCCTGTCAGCCTGAGTGATCATGTCCACCACGGTGGTGGCAACGGCCATGGGGCAGGGTCAGCTTAGCACCCCATATGTGGCTGGGCAACAGAGGGCGAGCTGGGGGCAGAAGTCGAGTCCCCAGCCCCATCTCCCGCCGTGCCCTCCCAGCCCCCTCGGTGAGCTCTGCCTGGACCAGGAGAAAGCATGCTCGTTGAACTGCCTTTACTGCGGCCTTGGCGCTGCTCCCCGGTCCCCACAGACCCCAAAAGACACTGGTCTTTTTGTGAAGACACCCTGTACCCACTCGGGGGCCTGGGCTCAGGGTCAGGCGGAGCACTTCATGGGGGTGTCCTGAGGTCGCACCCTGTGCAGTGACCCGTGCTCCAGCTCCGAGAGGGGACCCCTGACACGCCGTCATCTCCAGTGGTCAAGCTGCTGTTGGGGGCAGTGGAAGTGACCCCCGAGTTCAGGGCTAGAGCCCTTTATTGGCGATGCACTGGCAGCTCCCCACTGGCCGGCTCGGTCCCCCAGTGCTTGGATCTGGAACCAGGCTCCCATCTCAGCAAGGTGCTGGGCGCAGGTCGGGGAAAGGTGAGGCACCTGGGGGCCCCGCTCCTGACCGCCTGGGCACCTGCAGGCGTCATCCCACTGTCCAACTCGGCCACAGCACACTGCCCGGCCCGGAGCCAGGCGGCCACCCACAAATCCCAACAAGCGCGGCCGGGCAGCCGCCACACCCAGTTCCCAGTCCCAGCAAAGCGGCCCCTTCTCCCAGCGGCGGCCAGGGCTCCGTCGAGGAGGCGGTCAGGCGGCTGCCTTTGGCAGACCATCGGGACCCAGGAGGTGAGCGCCAGGGTCATCCAGGACTTGAGGCCCGGGTCCCACCTAGGGGGTTGAGGAATCAACGTCAGGGCAGGTGACAGGGAGCGACTTCCTTCCAGGAAGTGCCGGGCCCAGGGACCAATCCTCCAGCACAGCCTCGGTCCCTCCGGGCAGACCTGGGGTGGTCGGTAGAGGCCAAGGCCTGGGTGCACAGGTCACGGGTCTGGGAATTGGATGGATGTGGTGGAAATCCCGGCCCTGCCACTCGAGCAGGGGCCCTGATCTGTTCTGGGGGTCCCCACATTCCAGCCCCACCTTCCCCTCCCCTCAGCCTGGGGCTGAGCCCGCAGGGCACGTGCGGTGCGCGGCCAGGACTCACCTGAGTGGCAATGATGTATTTGATGCCGCCGGGGGTGGGGTCCATACCCAGCGCAGCCTTAAGCTCATCCGAGAGCGGGACAGGCTCCACGGGCAGCCCCTTCAGAAACCTAGGAGACAAGGCAGGACTGGACGGGGAGTGCAGGGATGGGGCATGTGCGGAACAAGCAGATCCAGGACGGAACACGAAGCGGTCGCCGGGGGCTGGGGGGTCGTGACTACCGACGGAGTCGGGGCCTCTGGGGCTGACGGACAAGGGTGCCCAGCATGTTCTTAATGCCCCGGGCTGTACACCTCAAAGTGCTTAAATGGTGGCTTTACGTTACGAGCATTCACCAGGCACACAGACGCTGAGAGGGAAGGCCGAGGGCCTGGCACCGTCACTGAGGGGAGGGTTTCGGGAAACCTCCACGAGGCTTTGGTGCCGCCTCTCACCCTGGCCCACGGCTGCTGCTGCGCACGTTGGGGGACACGGCTTAAGAAGAAAAGGCCTCAGCTGACGCTCGGGTTGGTGCTTAAACCTACAAACCACCCCCAGGGTGACCAGGGCGATGAGTCCTCGGTCGTGGGGCCGGTCCCCCGTGGTGTGGAAGGTAGCATATCCGGCTCTTCCCACCAGAAGTGGCACCACCCCCTCTAGGTGACAGATCAAAGGGCCCCACCCACACTTCCCGCGCCCCTAGTGGGCAGGCGTCCCCTCACTGAGAACTGGGTCCCTTAAACAGCGGCGAGGAAGAAATCCAGACGCCCTGCCGTCACAGGAGCTGCAGGCGGCACGTGCGTGCCCCCGGGGCTGGACCGAGCGGAGTAGCGTCCGCGGTCACAGAGAGGCACACGTGGGACACACCGCCTGTGGTCCCACAGGTCCCTGCCTGCCATGGCCTCCCGGGAGGGGGCCCACAACTCACTTGTCTCCGTTCGACTCGGGGGGGAAGCTGTGCCTCACGGCAGCCGCAAACTCGGCCACAGTGTCGTCCAGGGTGAAGATCACAGCGTTGGCACCCGCGTCAAACGTGTATGCCACCTGGAGACACGAGGTCCGACCGGCTCAGACCAGCTCCCAGGGCCTGCAGGCCACCCACTCGAGACGAGGGTGGGGGGTCGTGCAACCAACACGAGAGCGAGAGGGAGCTGCGGCCCCCAGGGAAGGGCTCATGGCCCGGCGCGCCCCGGCCCCGCACCTGCCTTGGTCTGCCCGTGGTGTGCGTTGAAGAGGTGAACCAGGTGGATGACGCGCCGGGACGTGTCGCTCAGGTAGGAGATGGGCGGGAAGGTGTCCATGCAGGTGGCATGGAACTGGTTGCTGTCCTTCATGGTCAACTGGCCAAAGGCCTGGAAGTCGCGCTCCCTGATGCAGCGGGTCATCTCGGCCATGCGTGCCGGCACCAGCGCCTCGGCCCGGAACTGCAAGGCAGGTGGCCGCTCCGTGAGCCGAGCAGAGCCACAGGGCCCGGCTTCCAAGCGCCCTGGGAGCCACCCGCCCAGCCGGCCGCGGCCTCACCCTGAGCAGGGCGCTGGTCTCCACGCTGGTCTGCATGCCCACCGTGCTGCCCGTCGGCTTCCTCTCGGTGCTCACCTGCGGCGAGGGAGGGAGATGTGCGCCACGCCCGCGGCCCCAGGAGCTGCGGAGGCCCTCCCACCCCCAGCTTGGCCCTCCGGCTCACCACGAGGACGAGGACACGGAGCTCCGGCCAGTGTGACTCGGGGGCCACCTGACGGGCGATGCTGTCCTTCCCATCGGCCCGCTCCCCCATCTGCCACTCCACGAAGCCGCCGTACAGGCTGCGGCAGGCGCTGCCCGAGCCCCTGCGGGCCACTTCTGACAGGTCGCTCTCCACGCCATAGACCTGGGCCAGGGCGTAGGCTGCAGGCAGTGATGGGGGCAGGGAGGCTCAGACAGGCTGCAGGGGCGCCGGCCTGTGCTCAGTGCCACAGGAGGGGGGCACCCGGGGGATGGAGGCTCGGCCCCCAGCTCCACGGCTGGCATCCAGCACCCACGTGCTCACGCACTCACCCTCCGCAGGGGGCTCTGGCGGGAGGCCTGTGTGCCGAGGGGCCGGAGAAAGCTTCTCTGAGAAGCTCTGAGGGGTGCTGTTTGGGGCAGGGCCCAACGCACAGAGGGCAAAAAGTGTGCGTGCACGCCTGGGGCTGCTGGCAGCGCTGGGCACAGGGCCAGACTTGGTCAAGGGTCTGATGCCAGGATGCGGACCTGGGGGTCCACGAGGCAGGCCGTCTGCCCCCGATGCAGCCTGGCTCACTGGTCTCAGGCTACGTGGAGGACGTGACTCAGCTGCCCACCTCTGTGGTAAGTGCCTTTGCCCCCAGGTCGGGGGTGGGGGTCCCTGTTGGAGAGTGAGCCAACAGAGGGGAGGGCAGAGCAGAGATCCAGAGGGAGAGATGGGTTCCCAGTAGGCCGTCCGAGAGCCTGGAGCTGGCCACAGCCCTTGGGATTCTGCTATGTAAGCCAAGAAGTCGACCCCACTTAGTTTAAGCCAGTTTGAGGGGCGTTCCATCACGCACAAGGTCCTATACGCGGAGCTCAGCATTCAGACATGTGACACAGCTGAGGCCACGGCCCTATGCCCGGGGCACAGCACTGGGACCCATCCGGGGCACCCACCTAGGCAGGCGTAGCCTGCCGCTGAGGAGGCCAGGCCCGCGCCCGTGGGGAAATTGTTCACCGAGGCCACGTGCACCTTGTAGCTGAGGCTGAGGGGCAGCGGGTCCTCGTGGCCGTCGCTCCTCCGCTTGCGGGCCAGGCGACGGACTACGGGGACAGGAGACAGCGCCTTGGGTAAGCACGGCGGGGACCGGCCTCTGTCCGAGCTCCGCATGCAGACCTCCTTCTCGGGAGACCCCAGGCCCCAGGCCCCAGGCCCGGACCCAGCTGTGCTGACGGGTGTCCGCGGCCCCTGGGGCGTGGGAGGTACAGGGGGTGGGGTGGGGGGTGGCGGCGGCAGCGCCTTCTGTGCACTCGGACCCGCCCAGCGCGAGGAAGGGGCACAGGGGAAGGAGCGGGCCTGGCCTGACCCCAGCATCCCCAGGGCCCCCACTCACTCTCCCTCAGGCAGGCCTGGAGGCGCGGCTGCCCCACATCCTCCTCCCGGCCGTTTAGCCAAATTCGGTCCTCTGTGAAGTCCCTGTTGATGGCGGCCGTTGTGGTGGTTTTTAACTGGGAAAGAAAGTGCAGGGCCTCCTGGGTGGCGGGCATCGGCCAAGCACCCCTCTCTGTGGGGGCCTCTCCGGCCCTGGTCCCTCCTGGGCGCCCACTCAGGGCAGTGGCCTTGCTGGAGGTGGAGGCCAAGGCGGGCCGGGCTCAGGCGGTGGGAGCACCCCATGGGCATCCACTACCCAAGGCGTGGCCCATGCTCCCATCTCCTGGCAGAGAATGCAGGGCAGGGACCTCCTAGGAGGGGGCCAGGCGTGTGCATGCCTGTGCGCTGAGCACTCCTCACAGCGGGTGATGCGACGCACAGTGTTCGTTGGCTGGGGATTCACTGCCACCATCTGTTAACAAAGGTTTTGTAAATATTTTTTCGGTGTGTATTGCCAGCCCAGGCTCACCTGATCCTGGTGCAACGTGACACTCAGAGAGGAGTTGATGGGCAGGATCAGCTCCTCGTCTCGCTTTCCCCCTGGAACACATGGCCCACGGCAAAGCCAGTCAGTGTCCCAGCCCAGCAGACTGGCGCACTGTTGCTCCCGCCCACCAACGCCCCACCCCTTCCCACCCCCACTGCCACCCCACAGCTCCCCAGCTGCCTGGACCCTGCTGTCTCACTGCACAATCTAAGTCCTCTTCCTGCTGTGCCCCCGCCTTCAGGAAACCCTCCTGGATTGCTCCCCCACTTCACTTAGCTCCCGAGAGCAGGGCTGGACCCCTTGCTTCAGTGCTTCTGTTTCGTCTTTGACTCACTCAACAAATAGCCTTGGAGTGCCTACCAGGTTCTGAGTGCTCTGATTATAAGGCCCTTGCCTTTTCCTCCCAAACAGAAGGAGCCCCAGTTACTGAAAACTCTTCAAATCTCCCTGTTCGTACCCCCTAGAGACAGCATTCCCCCCACTTCCGCTGAGCACTTCCACTCCTGTCATATCACAGCAAACACAGGAAACCTTCCAGAAAGTCCAAAATTTCAAATCCATTGTTAGGCACTGGTGCTGAGCTTTTGTGCAGGGTCTTTGGCGTGGCAGACAGTTACGGGACACAAGAAAGACGAATACTGGTAGGTAGTACAGGAAAGTCCAGAAGGATCCCCCATAAACACGCCCAACTGGTTTCTGACAAAAGTGCAAAAGCAGTTCCTCGGATGAGGCACAGCCTCTTCCGAAAAGACTGCTGGGTCACTGGACATCACCACTGAGCAGAGCTGAGCCCCACAGCTCAGACCTTGGACAAAAAAAATCACTCAGAATGAATCAGACTTAGATTTCAAACGTAAAACCCTAAAACTTTTAGGAAAAAACATAAACAGTCTTCAGGACGTAGGACTAGGAAAGACGTCTCTGACTTGGTACCAAGGATGGAGAAGATGACCCACTGGGCCCTTTTAACAACTTCAGCCCCTTTGAAAGACCCTGTCAGGAGGATGGAGAGAGAAGCCACACGGTGGGAGAAAATATCTGCAAACCACACATCCAGCAAGAATTAGTATCTAAAATACAAAGCGAACTTTCAAAACTCAACGGTAAAAAGCAGACAATTCAGTTAGAATGTGGACGAAAGTCCTAAAGAGACATTTCACGTAAGACTCTCAGAAGGCAAGCAAATGAGCACTGGGAAAGCTGTTCAACATCACTGAGCGGCAGGAGAACAGAAATTAAAGCCACGGTGAGATGTTACCACACACCCATCAGAATGGCTAAAATAACAGCTGGTGACAACACCGCATGCGGAAAAGCTGGATCACACCTACATTATATGTTGTTGGTAGGGATGAAAAATGGTACAGCCACGCAGGAAAAGTTTGTTTCTTTCAAAAACCAAACATGCAACCACCCTATGGCCCAGCAACTGTACTCCGGGCCATTTATGCAGAAAAATGAAAACTTATGGTCACACAAAAACCTGTACAGAAAAGTTTACGGCAGCTTTATTCATAATTGACCCAAACTGGAAACAGCCCAGCTGCCTTGAAAGGGCATATGGCCAAGCAAACTGTGGCCCCTCTACGCTGGGAACGGAACAGGAGGGAAGAACTGACTCCAAGATTCACCCGGGCGACTCTCCAGAAACTAGTGAGCAAGGAGAGCGAATCCCAGGAGCATTCCTGAGACCAGAACAAGACAGACACGGAGAGCAGGTCGAGGTGGCAGAGTGGGCGTGACCATGGGAGCCAAGCCCCCGCGGGGACGCGCGTCCTGTGTGGACTGTGTCTCCCTGTGTCTAGTCCCGCGGGGACGGACGTCCCGTAAGGACAGTGCCCCCAGGTGTCCCGGCTGCAGGTGGTGCCCAGCTCCGCGATCGCACTGCCCTGCCGGGTGGAGGGCGCGGCGGGTCCTCACACCTGTACGCGGACACACAACCTCATCTAGACGAGGGCCCAGCCCACCTGCCGCGGGCGGAGGACCCGGTCCACCGCCCAAAACGGCCCCTCGGAGCCTCAGTTTCCCCGTCCGCAGGGCCCCCACATCCCGCGCCCCGAGGCCCGCCACTCACAGTACTTGATGACCGCGATGTTGACCGGCGCGGTGCAGGTCACCACCTCGAGCCGCTTCTCCGAGGCCATGGCCGAAAAACCAGCGCGACCCCAGCTCCCGGCAGCAGGCCTTTCCGACCCGCGCCGCAGCCAGCCCTGCGATTGGTCCGCGTCGCCCCACCTGCTCGCGTGCCGCCCAATCAGCGGCGGGCCCTGTCCACGGTCCACCTCTCAGCCAATGAGCGGGATCGGACGATGGACTGCCGACGCCGAGCCCGCCCCCGCGGGCCAGCGGACGCGCTCCGGCTCTGCGCAGGCGCGGGGATCTGTCCCAACGCGGTGTCCGCGCAGGCGCCGGCTCTGCGCAGGCGCGGGGTTTGCGCAGGCGCGTGGCGGCGGCCTTACCGGTAGCGCGCGGGTCCCTGAGGCGGAAGACTCGGCGTGAAAGCTGCTCTCAGCTCGGTGGGACGCGGGCCCCGCAGCCCGGGGTTCCCATAGACTCCCCACCCCCTGGTTCCTGGGTGGCGGGCTGCTAAGGGAGGAGCTCCTTCGGAGATAGGTGCTTACAAACCCCGCTCCCCCTTTTTTAAGCTCCATTTAAGCAAGGATTCTTTTTTCCTGGTTGAAATGGGTTGCCACATTTATATTGACTCTTTTATTGCTGTAAAATGTACCGTTTTAACCACTTTTAAGCGTGCAGTTCTGTGCCATTAAGTATCTTTATGTCGCTGGGCAACCATGCCCATCCTCCATCTCCGGAACGTTTTCATTTTCTTAAACTGGAACTCTATTCCTTACACAGTAACTCCCAATTTCCCCCTTCCCTTTGTAAAAATTTATTTTTAGCTTTAAAGTGATTCAGGTGTCAGTGAAGATAGGAGTATGTGGTATAAATTCTCCCACTCTGGGGGCTGCCCCCCCATTTCTGTTCCTGAAAGTATCAGCAAATAGCTTTCTTCCCCTTCGGTGTTTCTTGGAGATCATCCCCGATGATCTAGACTTGCCATAACTTGTCCACCGTGTCCCCTGTTGGTTGACAGTCGGGTTGTTACCAATTTTTGGACACAAGCTGCTTTTTTGTGCAAGTGTGAGTTCTTCTGTTGGAGAAATCCCTGGAATTGGCATTGCTGGGCCCAGCAGGATGTGCCTAAAGTAACGTTGATAGCTCTTGGCAAGTTCCCTCTGGAAGTTCCATTGATCATTGAAGCCCAGCCACCAAAGTAAGGGAGCCCGAACCTTCCCCAGCACGGTGGCTCCCCCTCTGCCTGACACGTGAAAAATGGTGTCTCACTGCCGTTTACAGCTGTGTTTCTGATGGTTGTTATTTTAAGGTTTTCTTGGAATCACTTTTCGGTTTTATGCAAAGCCACTGAAACTTCTTTGAAGAGTTGCTGGTGGATTGCTGTGGACAGCGGTCGCGGTGTGTTCTGTGAGCCACAGGAGAAAGGTCACCCGTGAACCTCAGTGATTTATGCTCTGCCGTGGTAGTGATGTGAGGGACAGCACAGACGTTCGTGAGACATCTGTTTTGCGCCAGGTACTGTGCTAGGTGCTCCACCCTACATCATCCGGGTAACTTCAGTTTTATGGTTTATAATTTAAGTATTTACTATAGAGTGAATGTGTCACCCCAGATTCGTGTGTTGAAACCTAACCCGCCAGTGTGATGGCGTTAGGAGGGGGGCCTCTGGGGGTGATGAGGTCATGGGGATGGAGCCCTCATAAAAGAGACCCCTCACCCCTTCCTCCAGGTGAGGAAACAGCAGGAAGACACCACCCGTGAACCTGGAAGGGGCTCTCACCAGACACTGAATCTGCCAGCACCTTGATCTCGGACTTCCAGCCTCCAGAACTGTGAGAGCTCAGTGGTAGTTGTTTAAGCTGCCAGCCTGTGGTGGTGTTTGCCATAGCATCCTGAACAGACTGAGACGGTACTACGTATACGTGATTTAGAGAGTGAATTACCAGATCCCCTTCTATACCCCCCGCCCAGGTTCCAGCTCACCAAAGGCAGCCACTTTTAAATCTCTTATATTTCTCCATGTTTCTAAATAATCTGCTGCTTTTCCCTCTTTCTTTCTCTTTTTCCTTTATTTCCATTTTCGATGGTGTCTGTTGATTATCACTAAGTAGGAATGAGGAATTCTCTTCCAACCCCACCGCAGTCCTTCCTCCCCCATACAGTTAAATGTTCTCAGTGTTATGATGGTGTAAACCATGTTCACGGTTGAACATGTAGGCATAAATGCCTGACTGTGTGCATGTGGCCAAAGGGCCCCTTATGTAGTGGGGAATCTTGAACAAACAAGCCCCCTGAAAGAGGGCTGGACGTAGACCCCCAGGCTGACACAGTGAGCCCCACGTCTCCCGAATGGTCAGTCTACATGCGTGTATAAGGTAAACTCATGATAGGGCCTCTATTTTCTGTTTTTTTGTTTTGTTTTGTTTTTTGGTCAGAGAGGTGCAGGTTAATGCCTGTTGCGTCATGGTGAGGGTGATAAACCAGACGGAGAAACTTGAAGGCACGTGTCCACACGTTCTGATTTGCTCCATTGAAACGTGTTTCACAGGAGTGGTGGTAGGTGCAGGGCGAACGGAGTCAGCTTGAATTGTCAAGGTCGAGGGGCAGCAGCGAAGCCTGGAGCATCTCCCATAGTCCTCAGATGTCCTGTCTTGTTTCAAAGCATTTTTTTTTTTTAATGTGGTAAAATATACGTAACGTAAAATTTACCACCTTAACCATTTTCAAGCGTGCAGTTCAGTGGCAATCGGGGCACTCAACGTTGTTGTGCAGCCATCACCACCATCATCTCCAGAGCTCTCTGATCTTCCCAAACTGAGACTCTGTCCCCACTGAATACTGACTGCCCACCGCTCCTCCAGCCCCTGGCAGCCACCCTTCTACTGTCTGTGTCTGAATTTGTCCACTCCAGGGGCCTCATGTAAGTGGAATCCTATAGGATCTGTCCCTATGTGTCTGGCTTATGTCACTGAGCATAATGTTCTCAGGGTTCATCCACGTGGTAGCAGGTGCCAGAAATTTCCTTCCTTTTTAAGGCTGAGTGATAATATTCCATTGTGTGGACGGGCCACGTTTTGCTTATCCATTTATCCATCAATGGATATTTGTGGTGCTTCTGCCTCTTGGCTGTTGTGAGTAATGCTGCTGTGAACGTGGGTGTCAAACATCCCTTAAAGTTCCTGCTTTCAGTTCTTTGGGGTAGAATTGCCCAGTGGTAGAATTGCTGGCTAACATGGTAGTTCTGTGTTTAATGTTTTGAGGAACCGCCAGTCTGCTTTCCACGCCCCTGCACCATCTTACATCCCCACCAACAGTCACAAGCTTCCCGTTTCTCTGTGTCCCCACTGACCCTTGTTCTTTTCTTTTCTTCTCTTTTTGTGGTAGCCATCCTAAGGGCTGTCAAGTGTGAACTGGTGTCTCATTGTGGTTTGATGTGCATTCTCAGGTTTCCTTTTATTTGTGGTGATTTCTCAGTGTTGAGAGAGCATGTGGGATGGCGTTTCTCAGACGTTGGCATGCGTACCAGTCACCCAGGGAGTGTGCTGCAAGGCAGGTTCTGAGTCAGGAGGTCTGGGAGTCTGCCTGTGTAGCCAGCGCCCCAGGTGTCGGCAGAAGCTGCTGGGTGAGGGCCACGCTGTGAGTAGCAAAGACAGATAACGCAGTGCCCAGGGGCCCTGCAGTCAGGCCAACCCAGCGTGGGGGTAACTTTCTTAGCCGCAGAGAGCGTGTTTCCTACAGCAGAGCAGTGCTCCCTGAAGGGACTTAATGGATGGGAGGTGACTTGAAAAGATGATATGTGTTTGTACGTAGATTTTTCTTTATTGCCATTTCGTTTCAATTCAGTCCACTCTGGAGATCCTCAGCAGCGAGGTTATTCTGGAACCGGGGACGTGTGAAACACCAGGGAGTTGAGGCAGTGGGAGATGGAAAGGGAGGGAGTCTCCTCTCCCCGGGGGAGATTACCTTGTTGGGGGAGGATTCGGTGCTTACAGAAAAGGTGACATTGCAGAGGTGATGAGGTGCAGGCAGACTCCACCACGAGGTGGGACACGTGGGTGATGCGCACGGTGTGGTCCAGGGCAAGCGAACGGTAGAGGAGCCGGGGGGGCGGAGCCGGGGGGGCGGGGGCACCGCGGAGTGGTGCTGGTTGGGGGGACGTTCTGGCGGTGGAGGCGGTGGAAGCGACTGAGCGGGAGAACGTCGTCCCTCCAGGAGGAAGCGCCTCTCTCCAGGCCAAGCCAGCAGCCAGGCGGCAGCCAGACCCTCGTGTGTGCTGGCGCGAGCACCCATTCAGAGCGAGAAGGGCCAGTGCCCCGGATTTCACTCCCCACCTCGCTTCTCATTGTCCTCTCCGTCACCGTCTGAAGTCCCATGGGACTTCTCATCTTGAAGGGCTTGAGCTCGGCGACCTCTAAAGGCCCAGGACTCTGACCCTGCGCCCGCACAGCGAGCCCGTCTCCGTGGGTCCCGGCACTGGCTCGAGGCTTTTCTGCAGAGGACGGGGTGGCAGACACCATTGGCTTTCTGCATCTTCCACCTCGGCCGCCACGACCTGCCTTTGCTGTGGCAGATCCAGAGCAGCCGTAGAAAACGAGCAAGTGACACGGACACGGAGGTGTGAATCTCAGAGAATTTTCAGGCCACAAAGTCTTCTTTTGATTTTGTTGGTATTTTTTTTACAGTGGTACAATATACATAACACAAAATTTCCGTTTTAACTGTGTTTAAGTATTTAGTTTTAAGAGCATTCACGTTGTGGTGCAGCCATCCGCCTCCAGAACTTTCTCACCGTCTTAAACTGAGACTCTGTCCCCGTTAAACACTGACTCCCCGGCCCTCACAGCCACCATCTACTTTCTGTCACTCTGACTTTGACTCTTTTACGTCCCCATGTCAGTGGAATCATATAGGACATGCCTTTTTGTGTCTAGTTTATTTCACTGTGCATCGTGTCCTCAGGGTTCACCTGGGTGGCGAGAGTCATGGTTTCCTTCCTTTTTATTGCTGAGCAACGTTCCGTTGTACAGATGGACCACACTTTATTCATCCATCAGTGGACACTGGGCTGCTTCCACCTCTTGACCATTGTGA